GGGGGGGGGGGGGGGGTGGGGCGGGGGGGGGGGTTTGATTATCATGTTCTGGCGGCCGCTCCACCACTGCGTGGCAGGTGGCAGCGCATGTTCGAATCCTATCGCGGGCTAACCAAGCCCGGAATGCACACCACCAACGAGATTGCATGGGCCGCAGTGGTAGCAAGGAGGCTGCAGCAGAAGAAGCGGAGCTCGGCGATGTGGAACCGGGACTACGCGGGAGCGGTCGCATGCGCGATTGCAATGGTGTGGGAGGTGACTCGCGGTTCTAACGTCACGGCCGCAGCGGATAATGGACATTTGGCCGCGCGAGCTGCTGGTTGCTATGGGGAGCCAAGCCGTCTCTTCCCCATAGTTTCCGCGTACGTCGTCAATGCGGTGCGGAAGCGCAATGCCCGCGAGCTGCAAGCTGAGGACGACGAGCCGCAGGTTGTCGCGGACCCGAAGGTGGTCGCGACCGCAATTGTGACTGGAGTAGTGAACAAGGTCGTCGCCAAGTCTCGCGATCTCAGGCACATTGAGTTGGCCGCCCGCAAACGGTGGACGTTATCGTCACTTGGTGCGACTGCTCGGTTGCGGGGAAGGTCATGGAGTCTATGGGTCTTTACCTTGCCCTGCCCAAGGATCGTCTGTCCGCGAAGAAGCGGACTTGAGTGCGTATCGCGTAGCATGTGTGTAGCTTGTCCACCCTGCTTGAGTTCTACTCGCGGTGGATTATGCAGGGCTTGCAGACCTGTGTGCATGAAGGATATCGTGTGGGAGTGTTATAGCGTGAGAATAATGGTGTTTGACATTTGGAAAAATGTCTGAAACATGACTATTGCGGATCGGGCACCCACAAAACAAGCTCGTCCGGTCGATTTGTAAAAAAACGTGTGGAAGTACTTTCCGTTTCCATACATTGCGGGTGCTGGTTCTTTCATCGCGAGCAGCAGCCCAAAACACACGATACCAATGTGTGTCATACTAGTGTAACGTGATCGACATAGGGTGTGGAGCGGGGGGGGGGGGGGGGGGGGGGGGGGGGGGGGGGGGATTCACAATGTTCTACCACCTCATTTAATCTAGCGGTGGCATTTGTGCACAGTACTGAGGCCACGCGAACGTGAACTCAGACGCGGGAAGCGAGGCATCGATGAGGCGGTCGCGTACAAGCATCCATTTAACACGCAACTGCACCTCCACCGGAGAACCCTTCTTGAGCTGGCTCAGGTCCAGGTCAACACTCTTCTTCTTTACCGCGATCCCTTCCGATGCACCCGACATGCCCACAGCTCCTGACACGAGGTCGAGCTTGTCGAGCACTACCGCGATGTTGTCTCCTTGCTCCACGCTGTGGGCGATGAAGTCCATGACTCGCTTGACACGGTTTATCGCGTTCTGGCCGCCTCCCTCCTTCCCAATGAGTTCGGCCAATCACGTAACTGCATCGTGGGGCTGGGCCAGAAGCGACTCTGGACTCTCGCGGATCGGCGGGTGCGTGGTTTTGTACATCTTCCATCCGTCTGACGGTTTGGTCGCGTTGACCCATGGGAGGACGATCGCGTTCCGAATCGTCTGTTCCCTGGTGGGCGGTGCGGTTTTTTCTTCCGCGTCCCTTGGTCAGTGGGAGTGGTGGCATTGGTAGGCGCGGACGCGGCTCTAGGAGTGTTTGCCGGGCTTGGATCCGCGGTCGGACCTGAGCTGCTAACGGTGAGACGCGACAGCTGGGCCTCCAAATCATTCACGTGCTCGTTCTTCGAGGCCAGCTGTCGGTCGCGTTCCTCCAACTGACCCTCCAGCTCTTTCACCCGCTTCTGGGTCGCGACCAAATCTAGGCCCAGCCTGGTGTTGTCCTCTTGCGAACGAGTTAGATACTTCGTGAGAACGGTCACCTGGTTCTGCGCGTCCATCCTGGTACTGACCTCCTGCATGGACAGAACGCGACCGCGGACTTGTGATGGTTTGGCATTGACATTACAGCCGAATAAATAGCGCGACCATGCAATACTCACCGCGCCCTTGGTCAGTGTAGGTATGTTACACTGTACTATGGCCAATTGATTTACGAAGGAGACATCTGCAGCCCACGACGCAAATTCCTCTGTCTGGCAGAGCGGTTATTGACCACGAACGGGTGTCGCGGCTGGTGAATGTAGTACATGGCCAGGTCTTGCGCGACCGCCATCCTAGCCTCCCCATCCAGCTCCTTCAGTATGTTTAGACCCGCGGTGTCCTGTTTCTCCGCCTTGTCCTCTTTGACCATCTTCCGGTTGTAATCTTTGCACTGTGTCAACACAACAACGCGGTAGTGAACGCGGTGGCAGAGGGTTATGTTAAACGCTCGCGGTAGGGTTGAAGGTATAGTTTGCGACCCACACATACCTGTTTTTGTCCTTTGTCCGGGGCGGTCCAGGGGAAAATGTGCTTCCTCAACAGCTTCTCCAGCTCCTCGCTCACCGGAACAGTTGCGCGACCTAGGAAGTAGTCACCGTCAACCCCTGTGAGGCCAGCCTTCAGCAACACGGCCTCCCTCGGAATAGTTGTGAGGTAGTGCTTAGTCATCACGTCGATGAAGCACCAACGCCCCAGTCTTCCCAACTGATCCGAAGGCATTCCGTCCGCGGACACGTGCTACGCCCCACCAGCCCTGGTCGCGTGAACCACACGCGAGCATGTAATTCGCGCGTCATCCAGAATGACAGAGTGTGATGACCGAGCACGGTCATCGTCCGGATGCAGAGATCGCGATGCAGAGCCTGCGTATAGGATTTATTGGCTAGTGTGAAGCTGCTCAAGATGGCGGCCATGCTGGTCTTCCGCATCATGTGCTTGAACTCGTCCGGGGTGTACGTGTCCGCGGCCGTGCCCCGATGGCGATCCATGTGTTCCCTGCGCAACCAGTTGGACGATTGTGCCAGTGTTAGTGGACGCGGTTTGCTGGACGTTGAACGCGGTGCGTGGGTGCGGATACTTACGCGATAAACCGCTTGTACTGGTCGCGTACTTGAACGCGGACCCAGATGCGACACTCCGCAAAGTCGCGCAGCAGGTTCAGAACGGGTTTTCGGAAGATGGCCCCATCCAGCTTGATGAGCAGGTTCAGAGCCTTGAGACGCCCCATCAGCATTGCAGGGGTGCATTGGCGTCTCTTTTTCAATGTCTTGTCGGCCGCTTGAGGTTGCCATCCTGTCCGCCTGTGCGACCGTCTCGTTCGCGAGGAAGGTCACGTATTTGCGTAAGCGCCACAGATTTGGTTCAGGGCCGTGTAACCACTGCTCGTCGCCCTTCGCCATCTTCCAACTACCACCCCATGTTCTGTTCGAGCGCAGCCCGATCTCGACTGGGTTCGCGTTTTTTCAACGCGGCCTCCTCCCCGAACCTACCCCCGTCCAGTTTTTGCAGCTCGTGCGCCATGAACCGCTTGTACTCGTTGGCCCAACCGTGATTCTTCTTCAGCATGGCCTCGGATAGACTGTAGAGGGATTCCATGCACATCTCTCTTTCGTGGCAGGTGTGTCATCCACACCAAGCCGGTTTCCAATCCGCGATTGGGACTCCTCGTTGTCCGTCGCGCTTCCCCTCCACCTGTTCCATGTCTTTCGCCTCACCCCTCATGGAGCGCGGACAACGAGTTAGCTAGGTCCACCCGTCGCCGCTATCGCTGTCATCATCATCGTCGTCGACGTCCTCATCGCTCAGCCCTCGCCCCCCTCCCCGTCCCGTTGCGCTTGGTGTGCGGCACTACCATCAACTCTCCGCCTCCTAATACACGGCCTATTAGCAGGCTGGTTCGCGGCACCGCCGTTCGCGGTTACTACCGTTCCTTCGCGCACCGGTTCCAGTCCACCAGGAAGCGCTCCCCCCGTTAGCACTACCCCCGGCCCCTCTCCCACTGGCCCCTCTTTCCCCAGGAACCTCTCCCACCGTGTCCTCTCGCACCCTATCCCTCTCCCCGTGGTCCCACCCCCCGCCTTCCATTTACCCCCGCGTTCACTCTCGCACGGTCCCCCTCCCCGATGGTCCCACCCCCCACTTCCCTCTACCCGCGTTCCCTCTCGCACCGGTCCCTCTCCCCTCGTTCCCTATCGCACCGGGCCCTCTCCCCACGTTCCCTCTTGCGCCGGTCCTCTCCCCGCATTCATCGCGTTCGACTGTGGTTGCATACCTCTACCGGGGGTGCTGATGTGGACGTCCGGGTTCCCTGGCAACAGCGAGTTCACGTTCCATATCGGAGGCAATTGGCACGCGCGATTGCATTCATCCCTGCTTCACCAGTCACCGCACGTCCTATCACCTCCGCACCCGCGATCATTGACAGGCCGTCTGGTCGCGCGTGTGTGTCCACACCGGCCTCCGATGGACCTATACGATCTGGAGGCCCCCGTTGGTGGGATATCCGCGTGAATCGGGTTAGGAACGGGGTTGCGGGGGCGACTGGAGGCGTCGCGACATTTGCAGGTGCGTGCACCACGGGGTCTGGCTGAACGCCGATGTACCCGTACCTGAACCCGTAATTCGCGTATTGCGGCCCGACGTAGCCCTGTACGGGCATCCCCAAAGGGCTAGCTTGTCGGCCCGGACGCCGGAGACGGGTTGTGTCCGTCAGTCTCTGTTCCGGGATGAGGCGTGAATACTCTGTGCGTCCACTGGTCATCCCGTTGCATCTGAAACGCGAACGAGGCCCAAGCAAGTGGAATCTGTGAGCGTGGTGCGAGTTGAATCCCGTTGATCAGTTGTTGTGGGTGGAACGCGGGCAATCGTGACCCAAAAACTACAAGCACGTAGGGGGTGCTCCAGGTGGGATTGAGCGCGGGCATGCTTGGCACGGGAGCGCTAGCTACGTCCGCATTGTGCATTATCGGCCCGGGCGTACTGCCAGATGCATTAGTGGAGTCGTGAATTAGCGTCGTCGCGACGCAATTAACAGTATGCATGCACCGTACGCGACTACCCCTACTCCTACCTAACGCACGCGTCAACATGATGCGAGGTCTACGTGTACATCCGGGAATGGACTGTCCTCACGCGTGTGTTATCGGTTCGTGATGAGCATCGCGGCCAGGGAGCCCACTAACACTGAAGCGCGGCCCAACTTGTGACCGCGACACAAGATGCCCATTTCTCGCCTAAGTCATCTAAATTCAATGGGTTCAAGAGAGGGCGTAGCTTGGTGTGCAACTAGCGAGCATATAAAGCGCTATTGTGGCCATGCTGGGTGTAATGACCGGCCACGACAAAGACGTGCTTGACACATCTCCGCGTTCGCGTCTCGACCAAACAGCGACACCTGTGTGTGACGCTCAATTTGCTGCATGTGTCAGTCAGCATGGTGCCTGTCAGATCGCGCCAGGTGTCTTAGAACCAAACACTCGCAGTGCGCTCACCAAACCTATCCTTGTGCGAATTTTGTTTGCGACATGCTTCGAGACATCTCGGCCAATCATGACACTCCGTGTGGTTTCGCGAACGCGCATTTGCATGCGCGCGGATTCCCACTTGACTGTGATGCGACTAATCGCATGCGTTTTTTACAGAGTTGCGCATGCATTGGCGCGTAAGAACGAGGTGGGTTCTTTCGGTTTTTGGGGTGTCGCGGAGCTTTCGGTGGTAGCCTGGTGGGTTTCACTAAGCCACGCAGGGCCCGCGCAAGGTCCACAACTGGTGGGATCCTGGTGGGCCGACTTCGGCCCACGCCTCCCGCAATAGCTCCGCGCCCCGTACATCCCCAGGCGTGGGCGGGGTTTTTCCCGAGCCGCGCCGTATGAACATCCCAGGAAACGCGAATCCAGCCCAATTTCGTGCTGACGGGTGGTTTGGAGGAGGGTCCGCGGAAGGGCGGGAAACAACATGGGGAGTTCGGTTTCGTGCGGAAAGAACCCCAACCCCCTCTCTCCACCTCTCTCAACCGTTAGTTTTGCAGGTAAGGGGGCCGAGTCCAAAAACTGGTCACCCTGTTTTCAAGTGATAATCCCAGGCCTCCCGCTCGAAGTATGTAGGCCGCAGCTACCTCGGAATGGCCGTGGAATCACGAACCAGAGGAGGAACCTCCCGAATAGGTGTGGAGGGAATGGCCAAAACGCGAAATTTCGCGCTAGAAAGCGGAAGGGTGGCAACGGGATCAAGAACCACCATCCCCACCTTCCAATTCCCCATCCCCACCCTCCACATCCTTCCAATCCCATGGCCATTCCAAGGCAATTCTGCTTGGGGGGGTGAATGGCGATGGAATGGCAACGAGACCAACGTTTGCCTGTAGAGGAAGCTCCCGACCCACTTTCCTACCTTCAAGATTCCATTCGAGTGAAAAGTGTGATCTGTAAAAGCCCAACCCGACGTTAGGTATGGTTGGCCGGTTCTCAAATCAACTGTAGAGTGTTTGCGAAGGTGTTGGGAAAGAAAATTTCGGCAAGTGTTTTTTGAACGAGTTTGCACTATTCCAATGCAAATACATTCACATTCGTAACTGAATTCCAGAGGGAACCTTGCTAACCATAGTCTAAAGACTCCGGCGCCGCCCCCCTGTACCTGCCTACGGTGGACGATGGAAGGTCTTGGGGTTCTGCCATATGGATAGGAAGTCTAATCTTCCACGTGGCCTGCTCACCTGCCTCACAGATCCTCGCGATCGCCCGCTCGTTTGTCTACTGCCAAGCCCCCCCCACGGGTCTCGCAGTTGGCCTTTCACCCCCCCTCCTGCTGCTTTTCTCAACTTTTCCGCCCCTGTAGAGCCTCGCGTGCTGCATGAATTTGTCATACTTTCCCTTGCAGTGCCCTCATCCACTCTCTCCTTGCATTGCGTTGCCTTGGCTGCTCAAGAGCGTGCTGCCGGAGGCACGCTGTCATTGGCCTGGCTTCCGTGGGGCGGGAGGGGGGAGGGGGGCAGGAGGCAGTTGCCACGTGGGTGCCGGGAAGACTGCGCAGGGGCTGTACGCACATGCATGGGGCACACTGGCTGATGGAGATATGGTGGGGATATGATGGGGATATGATGGGGATATGAGAGCAATGATGGGGTGATGCGGATATGATGGGGATATGAGAGCAATGATGGGCTGATGGGGATATGATGGGGATATGAGAGCAATGATGGGCTGATGGGGATATGAGAGCAATGATGGGCCAATGGGGATATGAGAGCAATGATGGGCTGATGGGGTTATGATGGGGATATGAGAGCAATGATGGGCTGATGGGGATATGAGAGCAATAATGGGCTGATGAGGTTATGATGGGGTCAGAGCTGGGCAATCGCAGCCATGCCCCCACGGCCATCTCATTCCCACGCCGTCTCACTCCCACCACCATCTCTGCCATGCAGGAAATGAATTCTGCTAGGGCAAAAAGAGGTTCACCAGGCATGTTTGCATCCAAGACTTGCTACAGTCCAATCCCTAGTCAATGCAGGCAGTTATGGTTCTTTGCCACTTCGTCTATGATACGGTATGCGGTGATATATGTAAGTTGCGCAATTTCAACGCACTAGATAAGTTTGCATTTGTTGTAGCATGTGAATGACTACCCGCGATGGTAGAGTCTGCAGAGAAATCAAAGTTTTACCTAAAACTCGGTTTATTACTTTGAGTTGCATAAGGAAATATAGTTTGTTACTGTAGGCTTTCAAAGGCTTGTATGTTACGAGGAGTTCGCTTTGTCAGAGGTCCACTGGTGATCCCCGATCGATCCTAGGGAAGGGTTACAGGCACGTTTGCCTGGGGGGTTATGGGCGCACTGACCCGCTACTGAAACAAGCCCTTTTATCCCAATGGTCTAGTGGTTGGGATTCTGAGATGGTATCAGAGCGAAGGTCTCGGGTTCGAATCCCGGTGTATGCACTTCGGGCATCCCAGTGCGGGGGGGGTGTCAGAGGTCCACTGGTGATCCCCGATCGATCCTAGGGAAGGGTTACAGGCACGTTTGCCTGGGGGGGTTATGGGCGCACTGACCCGCTACTGAAACAAGCCCTTTTATCCCAATGGTCTAGTGGTTGGGATTCTGAGACGCTTCAAACCGGTTCGGCCTGTAATTTTGGCCCGAACCACTTCCGAATCGCCACCGCACCTTTCGCCATCTTTCGAGCCTTGTTTACCCTGCGATTCTCGTCTAGCTCGGCTTTGCCTATATTTCCCCCCTCCTAGACTTTCCTAGGCCATTCGGTTCTGTAGTTTTCTAGTCTGTAAGCTCCTATCAGTTGGTTACGCCACCATCCAGCAAGCATCGCCATGGGCTAGGTTGTGTAGGAGTAAGCACCCACGTTCAAGATGGGGAAGTGAGGGAAACAATGGTATGTCAGGTAGTTACTCGATAAACGTTGCGTCGAAGCGACGAACAGGGGGCGATACTATATTGGCAATCGAAAGAGGTTTGGAGCTTTAAGTAGTAGTGATATTGCTACAGCGTCAGAGCGATCGACAGGCAACGAACAGAGCGCGACGTACGGCGATGAGAGAGCAAAGGACTATTACACGATGGACGGTCCGCGACAGAGAACGTGACGGACTGCAATGAAAGATCGACGAACGGCGGCGACGAAACTGTGAGCGACTTGTCAAACTCATATGCTATAGTCTGTGTAGGCTGTAGTGGGGTACGCAATATGGGGTACAACACTTTTAGGTTTTCCTACTTGTACCCACCTGCTTGCTAGTTCATTCATTCCTCGTTCTTTCACATGGTATAGAGCAGGTTCCCTAGTGGGAACGTTTCCTAGGGCCCACCGAATATCGTTCTGCCCGGAGCGCGCTTCGCCCCTGCCCGAGTCGCGCCCCATGTGCCTACCCTCCCGTCGCGTCCCCTGCCCTTAGTAGCCCGTCGCGCTCCCCTACGGCCCCGTAGCGGCCCCTCTCACGGCCTCTCACGGCCCCTCTCACGGCCCTTCGCGGCCCCTTCAGGCCCCTCGTGGCCCCTTTGCGGCCTCCCTTCGCGGCCCCTTCGCGGCCCCTTCACGGCCCCTTCGCGGCCCCTTCACGGCCCCTTCGCGGCACCTTCACGGCCCCCTCGCGGCCCCTTCACAGCCCCGTTGCGGCCCCTTCGCGGCCCCTTTGTGGCCCCCCCTCACGGCTCCCTTCGCGGCCCCTTCACGGCCCCCTCGCGGCCCCCCTCGCGGCCCCTTTGCGGCCCCTTTGCGGCCCCCCCTCACGGCTCCCTTCACGGCCCCTTCGCGACCTCGCCCCGTCGCCAGTCGCGGCCCCGCCGCGTCGCCCTTGCCTCGTTGCGTCGCCCCTGCGGGACCCGTGAGGCGCGGCTCCTGTGCGTCGCGACACCCCTGCAGGACCCGCGTGGCGTCTCCCCTGCCCGCCCCGGCGTCCTGCCCTAACCCGCCCCTGGAGCAGCCCCCACTGCAGCAGCCGCCCCTGGAGCAGCCACCCCTGCAGCAGCCGCCCCCTGGGGCAGCCGCCCTTGCAGCAGCCGCCTCTGGAGCAGCCGCCACTGTAGCAGCCGCCCCTGGAGCAGCCGCCACTGCAGCAGCCGTCCCTAGAGCAGCCGCCACTGCAGCAGCCGCCCCTGGAGCAGCCGCCCCTGCAGCAGCCGCCACTGCAGCAGCCGCCCCTGGAACAGCCGCCCCTGCAGCAGCCGCCCCTGGCCCAGCCGCCCCTGCAGCAGCCGCCCTGGAGCAGCCACCCCTGCAGCAGCCGCCTCTGGGCCAGCCGCCACTGCAGCAGCCGCCCCTGGAGTAGCCGCCCCTGCAGCAGCCGCCCCTGGAGCAGCCGCCCCTGGAGCAGCCGCCCCTACAACTGCCACCGCTGGAGCAGCCGCCCCTGCAGCTGCCGCGGAGCCCTCGCCCTACAGTGGTAGCGGCCTCGCCGTTGCCGCCGTCGTACGCTTGCCCTTCTCGCCACTAGTGAGCACTGCCCTGCCCGTACTGCTGTTACTGCTACTCTTGCTACTACTGCTCTTTCTACTGCTACTGCTGCTCCTAGCGTGGCCAGATGCAGCTCCAGCGTCGTCCGCGTGAGTCCCTCACCCCCCAACAGCTTCGTGAGTGGTACGCTAGTTGGGGTTATAGGGGTGGCCGTGCTGCGACTACTGCTATTGCTACTGCGGCTATCACTGCTCCTGCTGCTCCTGGCAGTGGCCAGATGCAGCTCCAGCGACGTCCGCGTGAGTCCCTCACGCCCTAGCAGCTTCATGAGTGGTACGCTACTTGGGGTTGTCGGGGTGGCCGTAGTGGGAGTCGTCCTGGAGTGAGTAGTTTGGCAGCTGCTTGTAGTGGCCAGGTGCAGCTGTAGCGTCGTCCGTGCGCGGTCCTTTCGCCCCAGCAGCTTCGTGAGTGGTACGCTGAGCGTGACGGGTCATGGGGTACTGCTCGCTGTCCGTACGTCATTCGCACTGGTGCTCGGACTGGTCAGCCTTCCGGGACATTTGGTCACGCAGAGTTCCGCTGCTTCGCCCGTCTGAGCGACGCCTTGGGTACGGAGTTTGGTGACGCGGCTGAGCTCCCCGACTGGGTGGAGCTTCTTAGGCTGCGGGTAGATGTCTATACTCTTGACTATGATGCTATCTTCACTGCCATGTATGCATTGCCTACTAGTGATGAGGGTGACTGTTACCTGTGTGTTCCGCCTGACCCGGGCATTGAGGCTTCTGCTCTAGGTGCTGGTGAGGCTGCTGCTCTAGGTGCTAGTGCGTCTGCTGCCCTAGGTGCTGGTGAGTCTGCTCTCTCAGGTACCACGTCGGCTCAGGCCTTACACACCTTCACCCTTGACTCGGGTGCTTCCCGCTCCTTCTTTCGAGACCGCACCACGCTTACGCCGCTTAGTCGGCCGGTTGCGGTCTCCCCGGCGGACCCCTCTGGGGGTCCTGTCCTTGCTAGCTTCTCCACTGTCTTACCATGCCTTGCAGCCCCCTATGGCACCCTGTCAGGTCTCTACCTCCCCTCGTTCTCTACGAACTTGGTGAGTGGTGCTGATCTACAGGATCGGGAGGTTGACTAGTTCACTCCTGCGAGTCAGCGGGTGACCCACTATACGTGTGCTCGCATGGGCCAACACTTGGTCACGTTTACCCGTCGGCCGGGGTCAAGCCTATACACACTGACTACTGAGTCTCCTCCGGTTGATGCGTCTGGTCAGGTAGCTAAGTCGAGTCAGGTGTTTGCTGCAGCGTCCAGGTCTGGTCCTGAGTCTGCTCCCTGCTCGTGTCGTCTTGTGTCCCACCAGACTCTCCTTTGGCACCACCGCCTTGGTCACCCCTCCTTGCCTCGTCTCCGAGGCATGGCCTCCCGTGTCCTTGTCTCTGGTCTCCCCCGGTCCCTCCCTCCCCTCCCTCCGGGGCCTGCCCCTACCTGCGTTCCCTGCATCGAGGGGCGGCAGCGCGTCGCATAGAGGCTGCCCTCCAGACTCTTCACATGAACGTGTGGGGCCCCGCCCGCGTCCGTGGCCAGGGTCACGAGCATTACTTCCTGTTGGTGGTTGACGACTACTCGCGTTACACCACGGTGTTCCCCTTGCGCAGCAAGGGTGACGTCACTAAGGTGTTGATCGACTGGATCCGCGCGGCTCGTCTCCAGCTCAGAGAGAGTTTCGGCTCGGACTTTCCAGTTCTGCGTCTGCACTCTGATAGAGGCAGGGAGTTTTCCTCTGCCCGTCTGGGAGCCTTCTGTCGTGCACAGGGCATTCGCCAGACCTTCACGCTTCCGACCTCTCCACAGCAAAATGGGAATGCTGAGCGCCGCATTGGCATGGTCATGGACGTCGCTCGTACGTCCATGATCCATGCGGCTGCTCCCCATTTTCTGTGGCCGTTTGCGGTTCAGTACGCAGCACATCAGCTCAACCTTCAGCACCGGGTCTCCTTGCCAGAGACCTCCCCCACCTTGCGGTGGACGGGGAAGGTTGGCGATGCGTCTGCGTTTCGGGTCTGGGGATCTCAGGCGTTTGTCCGCGACTTGTCTGCGGACAAGCTGCCCCCCCGTGCTTTTCCCTGCGTCTTCCTTGGCTTCCCCCCTGACGCGCCTGGTTGGCAGTTTTACCACCCCACCTCGCGCCGTGTTCTGTCCTCTCAGGACGTCACCTTTGATGAGTCGGTGCCTTACTACCGTCTCTTCCCCTACCGCACTGCGCCCCTCCCCCCGCCGCCGCTCTTCCTTGCGCCAGGTCCTCCCCTGGTAGTCCCTCTCCCCCCTCGGGGTCCTGCCCCGTCAGGTGTGTCCCAGGTAGACGCAGTCAAGCCTGTCGAGGTAGCTGTTGTCAACACCTGACTCGACGCAGCTACCTGACCAGACGCAGCAGCCGGAGGAGACTCAGTAGTAACTGTGTACAGGCTCGACCCTTGCCGACGGTTGAACGTGGCCAAGTGTCGGCCTGTCCGAGCACACGTACAGTGGGTCACCCGCTGACTCGCAGGAGTGAACTGGTCAACCCCCCTATCCTGTAGGTCAGCTCCACTCACCAAGTTCGTAGAGAACGAGGGGAGGTAGAGACCTGACAGGGTGCCAGAGGGGGCTGCTGGGCACGGTAAGACAGTGGAGAAGCTAGCAAGGACAGGACCCCCAGAGCGGTCCGCCAGGGAGACCGCAACCGGCCGACTAAGCGGCGTAAGCGTGGTGCGGTGGCGAAAGAAGGAGCGGGAAGCACCCGAGTCAACGGTGAAGGTGTGTAAGGCCTGAGCCGACGTAGTACCTGAGAGAGCAGACTCACCAGCACCTGGGGCAGCAGACGCACTAGCACCTGGGGCAGGAGCCTCACCAGCACCTAGAGCAGCAGCCTGAATGCTCGGGTCAGGCGGAACACACAGGTAACACTCACCCTCATCACTAATAGTCACAGCATACATGGCAGCAAGAATAGCATCATAGTCAAGATCAAAGATGGCCACCCCCGCCCTAGACAGATCTCCCCAGCGAGGGATCTCTGACGCCTTAGGGAACTGGTGACGCCACGTGTCCGTCAGGCGGCCAAAGCAGCGTTGGGTGGAGTGCGGGCCCCCGCACTGCTCACCAACGCGGTCACCGGTACGGAGAACGTAAGTGCAGGGACCAGTACCCCCACTGCGCTGACGCGCAACGTACCACTCACGAAGCTGGTGAGGGGACCGGGTCTCACGACTGCGCTGCTGCTGCTGGCGCGGACCACCACCAGACCCACTCCTCTGCGTAGAGTCGCGAGCAGCTCCACCGCCGCCGCCGCCGCCTCCGCCACCTCCGCCACTTCCGCTCCCTCCGCCACCACCGCCGCCTCCTCCGCCTCCACTGCTGCCACCGCCGCCGCCACCCCCGCCACCACTCCCACCACCACCCCCACCCCCTCCACTGCCTCCACCGCCACCTCCACCGCCCCTGCTAGCCCCTCCAGCTCCCTTGCCCCCCTTGCCCTTGCCGGTGCGGCGCCTCTTGCTAGGGGCAGACGCAGCGCCGACCCCGTAGAAACCAACGAGGTCGGCAGCAGCAGTAGAAGCAACAAAGGGCAAGAGGGGGGAAGGGGAACACCCCTCAAAGACGGGGGTGCGAGGGTCACCACGAGAGGCTCCTACAGCTACTATTCTCTTCTCTACTGCTAGGAGGCGCTCCTCGAGGAGTTCAGCGGTGAGAGTGGTGGGGCAAACTGAGAGAATGTGGTCCCTTACTAAGCGAAGAGAGTCAGGGAGCCAGGTGATTATGTAGTAGAGGGTGATGTACATGGGGGGGGGGTTCTTGGCCCAGAACTCAGCAGGGAGCGCAGCGCGGTAGTGAGTGACACTAGTGCGGAGGTGCGTAATGAGGTCAGCGATTGTGGGAAAGGCAGCAAGGTCAGGGAAGAGGTACGGTAGCATGAGGTGGCTCAGTGCAGCTACAACGTCGTACAATGTCTGAGCACTCTTGTACTGGCTAAAGTGTGCACGCTAATGGGTTGGTAAGTGGGGACGCACAGCAAGACGGGCAGCAGCATCGCGTGTCGCCCACTGTGAGCAAACAGTGCTGTCAGCAGTAGCAGGCGAGGCAGGGGAGGCACCAGAGGTGAGGTCGAACAGAGAGAGGTCGTCTGTCCTATCGCACTGGAGGAACAGCTGGAGGTCATCGACCCAGACCTCAAAGTCAACAGCACGACCCTCAGTGTCAAAGGTAAGAACACTGGGGGTAGCCATGACTGCAGAGGTCTAGCAAGGAGTGAGCTCACCAGTACGTGTAAGTAGGGCCGGGGCGCGCCGGTAGGACTGGTAGCGCCTCGACGGCAGGGCGGCTCGGCGGCTCAGCTGCTGGACGGCTCGGCTATCGGGCGGCTCGGCGGCTCGGCTGCTGGGCGGCTCGACGGTCGGGCGGCCCGGCGGTTCGGCTGCTGGGCGGCTCGGCTGTCAGGCGGCTCGGCGGCTAGGCGGCTCGGCTACTCTGCTGCTGGGCGGCTCGGCGGCTCTGCTGCTAGGCTGCTTGGTAGAGGCGGCGTTGGGGCCGCTAGGGGCAGCGACAGGGCCGCTTAGGGAGGGGAGCGGCGACGGGGCCGTGTAGTGGCGGCGACGGGGCCGCGTAGGAAGGGGGGGCGGCGACGGGGCCGCTAGGGGCGGCGATAGGGCCGCGTAGAGGCGGCGTCGGGGCCGCTTAGAGGCGGCGACGGGGCCGCTTAGGAGCGGCAACGGGGCCGCTTAGGGGCGGGCGGCGACGGGGTCGCGTAGGGTGGGAGGCGGCGACGGGGCCGCTGGGGGCGGCGACGGGGCCGCTATGGGCGGCGACGGGGCCGCGTAGGGTGAGAGGCGGCAACGGGGCCGATAGGGGCGGCGACGGGGCCGCTAGGGGCGGCGACGGGGCCGCGTAGGGGTGGCGACGGGGCCGCGTAGGGGCGGGGACTGGGCCGCGTAGGGTAAGAGGCGGCGACGGGCCGCTAGGGGCGGCGACGGGGCCGCTAGGGGCGGCGACGGGGCCGCGTAGGGGCGTCGACGGGGCCGCGTAGGGGCGGCGACGGGGCCGCGTAGGATAAGAGGCGGCGACGGGGCCGCTAGGGGCGGCAACGAGGCCGCGTGGAGGGCGGCAACTAGGCCGCTAGGGGCCACTAGGGGACTGGAAAGGGCGGCAAAAAAGGCGCGCCTCGGGCAGGAGCGATTGGCGCTTCGGTCAGAGAGGAAAATTTCAGTGGTGGGCCCAAAGAAGCGTTCCCACTAGGGAACCTGCTCTATACCATGTGAAGAATGAGGAATGAATGAACTAGCAAGCAAGTGAGTACAAGTAGGAAAACCTAGAAGTGTTGTACCCCATATTGTCTACCCCACTACAGCCTACACAGACTATAGCATATGAGTTTGACATACCTGTGGGCTGCTGCAGTTGCCGAGAACGACCTCGCCTTCAACGTCAGCAAGTCAAAGTCGATCCGGGCCTTCGTTGACGCGGTGATCGTGTATGCTAAACCGTACACCCTCCCCACCCCATACAAGGTGTCCAGCCCGTTGCTCGAGAAGCTGAAGGCGGGCTCGGAGGACCTTGTGCGGCCGCTAACGGACAGCTCGAAGACAAGCGGGTGCACGCTCTCCATCGATGGGTGGACATGCATCGAATCCTGCGGTTTGGTGTGTGTAATCGCGCTTAATGACACTGCACCCGTCATCATCGACATCGTCGATTCGAAGACCGCGAAAAAAAACCAGGGACTACTTGGCGGGTCTAATTGAGGGAGCGATCAAGACGGTGGGGCCGAAGCATGTCGTCCAAGTCGTGATGGACAACGCTTCGAAGAACAAGAACGCCGCCAACAAGCTACGCCTGGAGTATCCGCATATCTTCTTCACCAACTGCGCCGCCCACTGCCTAGATCTCATGTTGCACGACATCGGCAAAATCCCTGCTATAAAGCACGTCCTTGCGCTGGTGCACAGCGTAGTGATGATGATCAAAGGCTCCGCTTCAGCCGTCGTGTTGTTCCGTGAGCTTTTTACCAAGCTCTCGTTGGTGCGGCTGGGTGCAACGAGATTCGGCACCCAGGTCATCATGCTCGGCAGGTTCCTGGAGGTGAAGCGCGCGTTAAGAGTGATAGTAATCAGCGACCGAGGGGAGGGCAGGCTGGGCTCTCACAATGCCCGTTGGGCAGCAACGACCTTGGTGGAGGCGGGGCGCATGATGGATGCGGAATGGTGGTTCCCGTTTGGTAGGGATGTGCAGGCGCCCCAAGGCTTGGCTGTGACGTCACTCTCACAGCCAGTCACCTCCTCCGAGGTGGAGCGCTATTGGTCGGCGCTGGCACGTGTGCAGAGTCGGGACCGGAACTGCCTCACGGCGCAGAAGATGACTGACGTCACCTTCGTCGCCTTCACCCGGCGGGCCTGTGATGCCTATGATCGAAAGGCAGCGCTGAGCTCCAAGCTCTATTCGGACCTGGGCAACGGCACCCTCAGAGAGGCTGCCATCAACCCGGCCGAAGTGGAGGAGGAGGAAGGGGATGCTGAAGAGGAGGGACAAGTGGAGGAGGAGGAATACACCATTGATTGGTCGGAATTTGGAAGCATCGGCAAGAAGAGGAAAGGGAAGGCGGGTGAGTCATCTAAAGGGAAGAAGAAGGGGAAGGGCAACGGTGCATGCAGTGGAGAGGGGAAAGGAAAAGCACGGGATGCGGAAGAGGAAAGAGGAGGCGGAAGACAGCGGTGGGGAGGAGGAAGAGCCTGCCCACAATCCCAAGGGACGATATGCATATGCCTGGGATTGCAACGACGGTTCAAGTGGGGAGGAGGAAGAGGAGGACAAGGACAAAGAAGAGTATGAGTTGAGAGTAGTGAAGGGACCTCCACATGCCAGGGTTGCAGCGACGGTTTGAGTGGGGAGGAGGAAGAGAAGGACCAGGTGCTGGAGTAGGAAGAATATAAGGGAGGTTGAGTATAGTGGGGATGGATTAGGGAGGAAGGGAGAGGCCCTAGGCAGGGACTTGCCTAGGTAGGCATGCATGCATGCATAGTAAGGGTAGCGACATTAGCAGAAGACCTTTGCAGGCCTATTTCTCCTTAGAGTAGGTTGTTATTGCCTTCCTAGTCATTGTTGTAGCAATTTTAGTAGATTCTGGAAAAAATCCCGTGACAAGAAATGGCCAACAAAAAAAACGGCCGAAAGTTTGCCAAACACACCGTACCATCGAAAAAAACGGCCCGTATAATACAATAGCCGTATTTTTTATCCTTGCTGCTGAGGAACGAGCATGACAGATGGGGGGGGGAGAAGAAGGGGGGTATAATCAGACAAATGGATTTTCTCCACAGTGAGACACGTGTGAGAGAGACTCTGAGGGCTTGCTGTGGTTTCAGGGGGTTCGTGAGAGTCTCTCAAGGCCACCCTCCCTTTCATTTCGCCGTTCCCCTCGTTTATTGCCCCTCCTGACCTGCTCTGTTTTTTGCTCCGGTTTGCTTCGCACACTCATTCGCACCCACTGGCATCCACTCGCACATGTACAATGCTTACAAGGCCACCGTTTTTTACCCTTAATTTACCCCCTCCTTTACCCTTACTACCCTCCCCCGTTCACTGACCCCCCTCCTCTCCCCTCCCATACCCTTAACCCCCCCCCTTCACTTTCCCGTCGCTTTAACCATCCCTCTTCCATTACCCCATTCCCCTTCACTCGCCTTCCCTTATTGTATCTCTTCCCGTCCCTTTACCATCTCCCACTACGCGTACCCCGCTTCCCCTTCTTCTTACCCACTCCCGTCCTCATAACCCTCCACTCCCTTTACTTTCTTCTCCCTTTGCCCTCTTCCCCTTACCTCCTTCCCGTTTCCATTATCCCACCCCTCCCCGTTCCATTCCCCTTCTTTTCTTATCACTCACTAGTCAGTCACTGGTCAGTCGCTGGTCAGTCATTGGTCATTCTCAGGTCACTTGAAGTCATTCTAATGTTTATCAGGTCAGTCTCAGGTCAGTCTCAGGTCAGTCTCAGGTCATTCTCTGGTCAGTCTCAGGTCCGTCTCAGGTCATTTTCAGGTCAGTCTCAGCTCAGTCTTAGGTCAGTCTCAGGTCATTCACAGGTCCGCCAGTTGAATGCTCTCTTCATGGAGAACCCATGACTGCTGGGGTGTGCATTGATTTCTGGCCCATAAGACCCCCCCGCCTGAGTGTACTGTTTACGGGACATATGTGCTGCTGAGCGCGCGCGCAGGCGATTGCGAGCAAGAGCTAGAAGGGCAACAGTGACCTGTCAGTAGTGGCTCAATAACCATCGCATTAAACGATAGACAGGCGATTAGAGAGCGACTGACGGCATTGAATTAGGACTGTTGACAACGGAGAAATACGAGAGAGAGAAAGAAAGGAGAACCCATTCGCGATGGCAGAAAGCCGCGACGGCAGAAGTACGAGGAGCAGCAGCAATGTCGGATGGGGCAAGCACCCGGGCTCCCAGTGGCGGCAATAGCAGAGGCAGTAGGAGCGGCAAAAATAGCAGCATCGTTGCGAGCAACACAGGCTGAAGCGGCGGCGGCGACGCGACGAGGTCGTGAAAGCTTGCCCCGGTCGCCGCTGCCGCTGCCACCGCCACCGCCATCACCAGCGTTGTGCGCGCGCCTCTACTGCCGCCTCCGCGAGAGTCCGCGCCATTGCATGCTAGTGGGACGGTTTGCGCAGATGGGGGCAGTGGCGACGGGCGGCCACGTGGAAGGGAAAGGGGTGGCGGAGCAGGGAGGGGAGGCGCAGGGAGGGGAAGGGGAAGCGGGGATGCGAGGCGAGGGGTAGGAGAAGGGGGGGCAGGGGGCGGAGCAGGAGGGCAGAGGTGGGGAGAAGGGGCAGGTGAAGAAGTGGGGACAGGCGGGAGGAGGGACAAGGGGTGCGTACGCGAAGGCAAGAGGGGAGAAAGGAAGGAGAGACTGGAGGGGAGAAGGGGCAAGCAGGGGAGGAGAAGGAATTGGCGGTGAAGGTAGGAGAGGTGAAGGGAGGGGAAGAGAAGAGAGGGCAAGAAGGCAGCGCGCGCGGAGAAAAGTCAAAACTCAGCCGACCACTTACATTGGTGTGGAGGCATGCAGCAGGTGAGGCATGTAGCAGGTGAGGCGAGGAGCAATGCGCCATGCGCCTTGCGCCTTGAGCAGTGGCCATCTATTGTTCCTCACAGCCCTGCCTTGAGATTTCACCTGCTCCTCAGCTTTGGCGGCCTCCTTTTTTTCTGAAGCGTCCCAAGAGCCTTCCCTGGAGGCTGCACCTTCTTCTGCCCCGCACCCCTCGCTGCACCCACTTCCTCTCCCACACCCTCGTCCTCTCCTTCCTCCTAGGCACCACCCCCTTTGCCTCTACCTCCTCCACCCCAGGTACGCCCATCAAGTGGAAATTCCTGAGCTGAGCGCGCTTTGGTCCGCTCCCCTGGTGGGAACTCACTGACCGTTGGCCGGCCCTCTCTTCCCTCTTTCCTTCCTCCATCCCCCTATGGCCCCTCCTTGTACCCACCTCCACCACCCAAGTACGCCCAGAAGGCGGTGAAACCGGAAGTGAATGAATTGGTTCAATCACACTGCTGGTCCAGCACCCCCCTCCACTCCCTCCCCCCTCACCCCAGGTACGCCCACCCCAGGTGAGGGGGAGAGGAGAGGTCGCGACGAAGAATGGGGCATGGATGCTGCTGGGAGGCCAAGTGTGTCGTGGTGCTTTTGAGTCGACTCAAAAGGAGGCCAAGTGTGTCGTGGTGCTGTTGAGTCGACTCAAAAGGAGGCCAAGTGTGTCGTGGTGCTTTTGAGTCGACTCAAAAGGAGGCCAAGTGTGTCGTGGTGCTTTTGAGTCGACTCAAAAGGAGGCCAAGTGTGTCGTGGTGCTTTTGAGTCGACTCAAAAGGAGGCCAAGTGTGTCGTGGTGCTTTTGAGTCGACTCAAAAGGAGGCCAAGTGTGTCGTGGTGGCTCTCAATCTGGGGGAGGTGCCCGGAGTAGATGAGTGTTTCGGGGGTAAAAGTGGATAGGTAGGGGGAGGGGGGAGAGGAGAGAGGAGAGGACTGTACAGGGGTGATGAAGTGATACATGTTTTAGAATTCACAGAACATGGTCTCCCTCTCCAATATGCAGTTGTCAACGTTTAAATCATGCCTATTCCCCCACCCCACACCCCCCTCCGCCCTGTCCCCCACGCTGTCTTGATGCAACTCGCTCGTCCATCCTATTGAGATGATTCTGCACAGAGCAGATGCCCTAGGCTGTCTTGATGTTATTCCTGGACACGTCAACATTCCAAACGCTCCCTCTCTTCCTTCACTCCCCTCTCCCACCCACCCCCCCACTTTCCCCTCCACAACTGTCTCCTTGCATCCATTTTATCAGATGCCACCGCACGCATAACATTCAAGCCACCCCTATCCACCCATCCCGCCCAACCCCTTCCCACCCTATTGTGTTGGGTGACTACCGTGGCCATTTTGGACGACATTGGGTACAGAGAGAGGCAATCTGATTGTGTGGGATGCACTGACTGGATCAATTGCAGTCGCCCCTTTCTAAGCATTGGCGACACACAGCGGATCCCAGAGGAGAGGAGGCTTTGAGGCGCCTCAAATGTCAAAAGCCATTCTGCTTCTTGCACCATTGCAGCACGCTTGCTTAGAGATAATTTCACTTGACATGCGACTCTTTGTCGCATGCATGCCTCCAGCATGCCACTCAAGTAAAGACCAAATCTTCCTGGGTGTCGCTTCCCTCTTGCACCAGGTATTGTTGTTATAGGAGCTGGCTGGAGAGCATGGGGGTGGAAGTTCTGGACGGCCAAGGATGAGAGTGAGGAGGGCAAAAGGCACTGGGCTGAGTACGATCATGCAAACGGGGACTCGCAGGCAACGAGGGAGGCAGAAAAAGCCGTGTTTGAGAGCTTGTATGAGTGGCTGTTAGCTGATCCACGCCCAGTTTGCTTATGGAAGGATGAACGTCTACACTGATTTACCAAAAGCTTTTCCCCTCCTCGCTCAGCACTACGCCCCTACCACCTTCTCTTCTCCCACACTCACTCCCGCTCCCTTTACCTTCCCTCACCAACAACATCACCTTCTCTTCGCTGGCCACAGGTTGCAGCAGCAGCGGCAGTCGTGGTGGCGAGGGGCCAGTCAGGAGTGACGAGTGGGTGGATGCGGGGCTTGGAAGCATGTGAAGCATGAAAAGGTGCGAGCACAGACCAGTCTCACATGCTGGGCCGGCTCAACCACACCTCGAGACAGCGGCGAGGTGACTGGTTCGAAGGATTCACTCTAGGTCAGGCACACTCCATTCTGTGTTAGGCATGCACCAGAAGTCAGTCAGATACTTATACAGGTCAAGTGAGGCATCGCATGGGCACACACTCCAGGTCGGCCTCACAGGTGAGGTTAGGCACACCCCTATTCGTCAGGCACATCCCTATTCGTCAGGCACACACCTATTCGTCAGGCACATCCCTATTCGTCAGGCACATCCCTATTCGTCAGGCACACCCCTATTCGTCAGGCACGTCCCTATTCGTTAGGCACATCCCTATTCGTCAGGCACACCCCTATTTGTCAGGCACACGCCTATTCGTCAGGCACATCCCCTACTCAGATTACGTACGGTGTCCTTTTGTCGGCATTCACACTGGCTCAAGAATGTCGCCAGGGTCGGCATTCAACCACACATGGCTTGTGAAGGTGGCAAGATACACGAGGGGAACCACGTACTAGGGTCGATGTCTTTGCGATATCAAGGCCTCGCTATTCGATGCCGGCCTCTCAGCTGGTGGCATGGCGGCGCTGCACGGCGATAGAGGTAAGAGAAGAGAAGTGTCGCAGGATGTAGTGGCAATATCTGTCACCAATTGTCATACCCAACATCCAACCAATTCTCCCGCCACCCCGATCAGGTTATCCAGCGCCTTCGCTCATCTCTCCCCTATCTTCTCCGCCTTCCTTCCTGTTGTCAATTATCTAATCGTATAAACGCATCGATACCGGCTCCCATCATGCCATCCACCTCCTTTCTTAAAGTTCACCTTGTGCACAAACTAGCGCACCCCCAACACAGACAAGCAGCAGCGCCATAGCAAGCAATCACAATGCAGTCATCGCTTTATGCTCTTGGCAATTCCTTTGCAGTCGAATAACTACTTTGCAACAGATTCCCTCAAAAGTGCAATCTAGTTCGCAACGCTCGTCTAGTCGTGCACGCCTGACGTGACGCCGCCGTGCACGACTTGACGACTGTTTACAGTGCTTGCTAAGCTTTGAAAGCATGGAATAGAGATGGTGGGGGGTCATAGGTACGGAGCGTCAAAGGACTCAAAAGCTTTGGCGAATGGAGGAAAATTGTGATCAAGGATATTGCTGCTGTGCGAGCTGAATTGATTCAACTGATTCTACAGGCATTCCTACACTGCAGGGAGGCATACACGTGAACCCCTGCATGCTCTTTCAACACCACTTTTACCTCGAAGCATTCTAGCACTTGCGTTAAGCATATGTAAGAGTTAACTAAGTAGTCCATTTTAGAACATCACGCTTGCCTTGACAGCACATGACTTGACAGCACATGCCTTGACAGCACATGCCATCTAAGGAAGGACTGCTTTCTCCTCAGCGCTTAGAATGAATCCTTGAATCAGCATGTATAAAAGCGGTTGGCAATTGCTACTATTTGCAATCTCTTTTGCATTAACCCCGTCACACTTGCTTGTAGGACTTGCATTTTGTTACTTTGTGAATCCCTCCTTTGTAGGCAAGCGTCGAATTCCGAAAAAAGAACAAGCAGAGCACGTTGCTCCTTGCATCTCAATCATCCCCGCTCTTCTTTTCCATTTGTTTCCACTTCCATCCCCCTCTTTCTCCTAAAGGCATTCAGATTATGATGGGATTGCTTCATTTAGAAAGCATATAAGAGAAGCCATGTTGTGCGACTAATTGGAGAAGATACTACTTAGACATCCATTCCATCCCACTAAGGCGCATTTGATCCCATACCTCATCTCATCCCATACATCATGCTACAGTGTGCATCCCACTCCACTGCCATTTTGGAATCAAACTTGCTTCCCTCAATGAACCGCCCTTGCGTCTCTGAACCTACCCATGCCTGCCATTCACTCATTCCTGCCCTTCACCCGTGCATGTTCTTCACTCAGCAGAATCCCCTCAAGGTCGCTGGAACACTAGGAGCATGCCACACAATAGCAGCTGCTGTAACAAGCAGAGGGAGGTTGGAGGAGGGGGGAGAGGGGGGGGGGGGAGGGCATGAAGTGGGTAGAGTGGTGGGGGTGCAGTGACAAGGTGCAGCTGCAATAGCCTGGTGTCACAACTCCATGCAGTGACAAGGTGCAGCTGCAATAGCCTTTGTCTGATCTTGTTATACCGAATTCATAACTACATTGTGGTGAGCGCTGGAGACACACAGCGACCTCGGTGGAGAGGAGAGGAGGGCGGCCTGCTGAGAGGAGCACCACTGCAGCACACTCTGAGATATTCTCCCCTCCCCTCCCATGCATGCCATCGCTGCCTGCATTCCACTCGCATGCCACTTGAATCACGTCCATCTCTTCCAATGCATGGATGGACGCCATGGGCATTCCAACATCAGGGTTTACGTCTTGTCTTGCATGGTTTTGCATTGTCTGAGCCTGCACTTATCTCGTCCGATCTGTTGTGGCCTAGTCAGGCATGCCCCGCCCTGGCCTGCTGTGTCCTGGTTTCGCCTGGTATGGCCTGGTATGGCCTGGTATGGCCTGGTATGGCCTGGTATGGCCTGGTCTGGCCTGGTCTGGCCTGGTCTGGCCTGGTATGGCCTGGTTTGGCCTGGTCTGGCCTGGTCTGGCCTGGTCTGGCCTGGTCTGGCCTGGTCTGGCCTGGTCTGGCCTGCTATGGGGCCTGACTTGAGGGCCACAAGGTTTGCCTTGAGGTCTTACAACAAATCTGAGGGCCTGCTATCACCACCATCTCGCTCCCACCACCATCTCACTCCCACCACCACCTCACTCCCACTTTCATCTCACTCCCACCACCACCTCACTCCCACCGCCATCTCACTCCCACCACCGTCTCACTCCCACCACCGTCTCACTCCCACCACCATCGCACTCCCACCATCATCTCACTCCCACCACCATCTCACTCCCACTATCATCTCACTCCCACCACCACCTCACTCCCACTATCATCTCATTCCCACCAACTATCATCTCATTCCAGGGCTGACGTAAAAAAAAAAAAAACCACTCTGAAGCAGGGGAGGAAAAAAATCGTTTAGTCTGAGGGTCATTTCCCAAGTTCTGAGTACTCTGAAATGTCAGGTTTGAAAAAAATCATTAGTCTGAAAAGTTTTAAGTTTGTAAAACCACATCCGAGTTGGTTAATAGCGAGTATCTGTCAAGTGAGTTTGGCCTAGGGAAAACGTTGCGGAGTTGGCGAGAAGCAGGAGTAAGAGGGGGCGGGGGAAGGGGGAGGGGGGAGGGGGGCAGGGGGGGAATTGAATGTAATTCGATAGAGGGGGAGGGGGGAGGACTGAAATTCGGCAATTTCAGGGGCCATACTCCCTGTAGTCTCGAGTCTCAATATCGCACAATGAAGTACTCTGAGGCCTTCAGAGTTCAAAAACTAACAGGTCTGAGGCCTTCAGAGTTCAAAATACAGGAATACTGAAATTTCAGGAAAGGCGAAAAAAAGAGTCTGAGATTTCAGACA